GTTAAACCACACCACAAGGGTAGTTGCTCCAGTTTGTGCTGGGGACCATGCCCTGTGGCACATCACCAACGTTCTTGAGCACATGTATATGGCACTCAGTGGAATTTCTGGACCACTTCAATGCACAAACTGCTGTTGTCTGTTGAATGCTGTCTCTCAGGGTGACATAGTTTTTCCTTATATCTGCCTGGGGTTTTCTATGTTGAACTTTTGTCTGATAGTTCTCATTCTAACTAGGCACTTTCAGGTAGAAGAATGCAGGAAAAGCACCTTTACCTTCTCTTCTTAAATGATGAACAAATCTAGATGTTAACCTCGCCTTGTACATAGGATACTTCAGATCCCTAACTATTTTGTGGCCCTTCAGTAGACTCATTCCAGGATGTCAGTGACTTTATTGTTCTGGAGAGGCCAAATCTGGACACACTACTGCAGATAAGATCTCACAAGTGCAGAGTATAATGGAAGAATCACCACAAAGCTGTTTTCTAACCAGTAGACCACAGCCTGTCTGGTTATGTGAATTTAATGCTTACATTTCCCTTTACTGAACTTCATGAATTTGCCCTTGTTGAATTTCATGAGGTTCCTATCAGCTCGTTTATCCAAGCTTTCAAGGTCCTTTTGAATAGCTGTCACGTCCTCCTGAGCAATGGCTCTAATTTGGTATCACGCATGAACTTTTTGAGAGTACATGCTATGCCTTCAATTGGATCACTGATAAGGATGTTAAACGGTGTTGACTAGAGTTTTCATGACTGTGGGATACCAGTGGTGAGTGGCCTTCCTGTGGGTCTTATACCCATCTCATAGTCCATTTATTCAGCTCATACTCCACCAGTATGTCTGTCAGTATAATTTAGAGGACCATCTCAAATGCTACAGTCAAGAAAAACAATATCCATTGTTCTCCACTTAGCCACAAAGACTGTCATGTCCTCATAGAAAGCAGTCAGGTTGGTTAGGCACAAATTTTAATCAGATGGTTGTTTCCTATTACCCTTCTGTCCTTCATGGGTTTGTAAATAGCTTCTAGGAGAATTTGCTCATTGAGTATTGAGTTTGAAGTTGAAATTTAAAAGATTTGTATCTATTTTACATATATTCTTTCCTCAAAAATGAAAGAACCCATAGACCTACCTCTGAATCAAGGAAGACTGTTCTTCCACAGAAAAAGTCTTTCCTATTCATAACTGTAGAAAAGGAAGATGGAATCTTCCAACAAGACTGAATTGTTCTCTGTATTAATGTTTCTTTAAGAGAACCTGAAACACTTTAGCTCTTTATACTAGTTTTTATTGGGTTTATTGTACGGTTTTTTCTTCATTTTCTTCTATTCCTTCTTTTCTTCCTTTGCAGATCACTGTTTGTTGGTGCCATTTATCCTTTTTCCTCCATTGCTCCGAGAGCTGGAGACTGTCACACACACACTTTTTAAAGGTTTGCTGGATGCTGTTATCTTTGAATAAGAATTTTAAATATCAATGAATTACAAAAGTATCATCTAGAGTTCAGGTCAGAAAGACTTTTCCTTTCTATGATATTGCTGTTCTGTGTCACTGATTGAACCTAATTTAGGATTAGAGAGCAGATCAGCACGGGAGACATTGTGGTTGGTGACTGCTACAGATCACCTAAGAAAGAAGTACATGAAGCTTTCATTAGTAAGCTGGAAGAAGCCTGACATTTGCATGTCCTAGTCTTCATGGGGGACTTAAATGATCCCAATATCTGCTGGAAGGGCAACACAGCAAGGCATAAGAAATCCATGAGGTTTCTGAATCGCATTGATGCTAACTTCTTCACACAGGTGTTTGAGAAGCTGATGAGGCAAGATGATCTATCTGCTGGGCCACATACTAAGACAAAGACAAAGTGGTTTGGGATGTTAAAGTCAGGGACAACCTTGGCTGAAGTGACCATTAGATGGTGGATTTCAGAAGCCTGAGAAAAGGGAACAAGGCAAATAGCAAGATCACCCTAGTCTTTAGGAGAACAGAATTTGTCTGTTCAGATACTTAGCTGGAGGAAACCACTGGGAGACCATTCTGGAGAGAATAGGGATCATGAGAGCTTTTAATTTTCAAGGTTCACTTCCTCCAAGCTCCAGAGCAGTCTATCTCCATGTGCAGGAAGTCAAGCAATGGTGGCAGGAGGTGCACATGAATGAAAAAGGAGCTCCTTACTGAAGTTAAACACAGCAAGGAAGCATGTAAGAAGTGGAAGTAGGGTCAGGTGTCCTGGAAGTAACATGGAGACATTGCCTGATGGTGCAGGGTTTAGGTTAAGATAACAAAAAATATTCTGGGGCTGAATCTGGAGAGGCAGAAGAAGGGCAACAAGAAGGGCTTCTTCAAGTATATCAGAAGTAAAAGGAAGACTAGGGAAAATGTAAGCCTGCTGCTGAACTGGTCAGTGGACCTGGTTAAAAAGGACATAGAAAAGATATGGTACTTAATACCTTCTTCTTCTTGATCTTTATTGATAAGATATGCCTTCAGGATTTCCAGGACCCTGAGACCCAGGGGAAGTTTGGAACAAGGAATACTCACTCTCAGTAGAGGAAGATGAGGTTGGGGAACTGTGTTGGATTTGCGCTGGGGGCAGGGGGGGTGGCATTTTTGGTATTGGGGGAAGGGATCTCATTGATGGCCAATAAGAGAAGCTCCAAGAAGCTTCCCTTGCTCCAAAGTGTATCCGCCTCCAGCAACAGAGAAACACTTCTTCAAATCAATATTTATGAGGGAAGAACTGGTTTTGAAAAGGAGGAGGAGAGAACCTTGAGGAGAGGCCATTGACCTGAACAAAAGAGGACTATTGGCCTAAACAAAGAGGAGAGCATCGTTGCCATGAGGGAGGAGGAGAAGGGATACAACAGAAAAGCTCAGACACTGGGATCACAGATGAGTGGATGGGGGTAAATGAAGTCCTCTGAAGCCCATGGAAGTTCAAGGATGGATCAGATACCCGCATGTAGGCCATGGAGAACTCCACTCTGAAGCAGAAAGCTGAGCCCGAGGGCAGGTGTGATTGAATTGAGACCCCAGAGATGCTCAACACCAGAGTGGAGGGGGGACACCCCAGGGTGGAGGGAGAAGGTGCACTGGACCGGAGACCTGTCTGCAGCCATGTTGGAGCCAGGAGCTGTGCCTGAAGAGGTCCATGACTCCATGGGAAGCTCACGTTGGAACACTTTGTTTGGGAGGGAGCTCATGCCAGGAATAGTGGCATAGTCCCTGTGCAAGTGATTGGACAAACCCTCCTGGAAGCCATTTCTAATGATATGAAGGGTAAGAAGGTGGTTGATAGTAGTCAGCAATTGGAATATCTTTCATATGAGGTGTGAGAGACTGAAAGAATTAATGTATGTCTCCAACATTGTAGCAAGCTGCAAGTTCTACACAGCAACAAGTTCTACATAACAAAGCAACAGTAAGAGGAGCAGTTAGCAGGATGTAGAAGGCAGTCAGCTGGACACAGAATGTGGGATTGCAGAAGGCGTTTTGGAGGATGACAGTCCTGTGTTCTGACATGCTGAGTAAAACGAGACCATATATGGCCAAAAGTCACACAGAATTCATTGGAGGAAGGGGCTCAATGTCTACAAAGACCCCCTGAAAAGACCCTCTGCAACCACTCTTCACCCTGCACCCTGTGCAGTCGGCCAAGAGTTACATCAGTTCTTGCTCAAAGAGTGGGGGCTGAACTGTAAAAAAGGCACAAACTTAGGGAGCTATGTGTGTGCCCACCACTGGAGATCCACCAGTCTTGCCACGTGCATGCTGACCACCACCAGAGGACTGCCCTGTCCATCTTGGGATCATTGTGGGATCCAAGGTTGGTGATATCTTTCTTTATGCCTTTCCTTTCCTGTCTCTCTCTTATCATATTTTCCCTCTTTTATGGATTTTTCCAGTAAAATCCCAAATCACCCAATCTCCCAGTAAGACCTAGCATTGGCAGTGTTTATCCATTTTCCAAATTCAGGTTATTTTCATTATAAATAAAATGTTTAACTGAGTGTTTGGTGTCGTTTCACCTTAATTTAGCCCAAAGGGTTTTACAGAACTTTAGTCGCTCTCCTCTCGCCTCTGAGGTGGGATGCGACATGAGGAAAGACTTGAGAGCTAGGATTGTTTGATCTGGAGAAGAAAGGGCTCAGGGAAGAGTCTTATCAGTATATATAAATACCTGATGAGAGTAATAAAGAAGATGGAGGCATATGTTTCTCAGTGGTGCCCAGCAACAGGTCAAGAGGCAATGGGAACAAATTGAAATACAGAACATTCCTTTTAAACATAAGAAAAATCTTTTTCACTCTGAGGGCTATTGAACACTGGAATGAATTTCTGAGGGAGGTTATGTAGGTTATTCAAGCAGGGACATTGAACAAGGTGATCTCCAGATATCACTTCCAAACTCAGCCTTTCTGTGATTCTGAGAATGATGAGACACTGGAATAAGTGACATAGCTAAGTGGTAAGATTTACCTCTTTGAAGGTATAAAAACTTATCCAAACAAGTTCCTGATTTAATTGGACTTGCTTTGAGCAGGAGGTTGGCCTATAGACCTCTTGGGGTACCTTCTAATCTATATTATTCTATGATTCTGTTCCAGATTCTGACATAGGTGTAGGTTATCCTAAGGACATCTCAGAATTAGTACTACTAAATAGAGTATCTTTAGTGGGAACTGAGCGAAAAAGTCATTGCCAACTTGGGGACTTCAGATTTGGATAGGATTCTGAGACTAATTAAGGCTCATATGGGTCTAAGAAGCAGAGAGTCTGGGCATAGGTTCTGAGACCCACAGCTGTCCTCCATTTCATTTTTCCCTGTTGTTAGGCTCTGTCCCCCTGACCACTTGCTTTCCTCATGAGATACATTCCTCTGAACAGACTCCTCTCTCCCAAATCACCCAAATCTCCCAAACCTTAGAAATGAACACTAGTAAATTTATTACAACCTGTAGAAATCACTTTTACAGAGTAGAAAAGGAGTTAAATAAATAAGGAAAAACCTAGATGAAATTTGTAGGGCAAGATGTCTCTCCAGTGTATTGTTTTCCTGAGAGCAATTCTGAATTCATGGTTCCTTAAGCAATAGATGAATGGGTTGATGAGGGGTGTCAGGACAGTGTATACCACAGATACAAGTTTGTAGGAGCTGAATGAATCAATTGGCTGGGGCCTGGCGTAGATAAACAGGGAGGCTGTATAGAACACTGTGACCACTAAAAGGTGAGAGGCACAGGTAGAAAAGGCCTTGTGACGTCCCTGGGCTGAAGGGATGCCCAAGACAGCAGCGATAATGCATGCATAGGAGGCCATAATCACAATGAGTGGTACAAGAAGGATGAGCAGGGCCAGTAAGAAATCCATAAGCTCAGCTACTGACATGTTGGTGCAGGCTAGCTTCAGTAAGGGGGAGACATCACAGAAGAAGTGGTTAATGATGTTGGGCCCACAGTAGGTCTGACGTGAAATAAAGTAAACTTTCCCTGTAGAAATCAGGAAGCCACTCATCCAGGAGCCAATGGCCAGATGGGCACAAAGAGTGTGATTCATGATGATTGGGTAATGCAATGGGTTGCAGATGGCCACGTAGCGATCGTAGGCCATGACAGCCAAAAGAGTGCACTCAGTGCTGGCCAATGCCAGGAAGAAGAATAGCTGAGCCATGCAGCCTGTGAAGGAGATGTCTTGTCTCTTTGTCACCAAGCTCACAAGTACTTTGGGCACTGTGACAGAGACGTACCATATCTCCAGAAACGAAAGATTGCCCAGGAAAACGTACATTGGCTTGTGAAGCTGGAGATTTGTCCAGACAAGCACAACAATCATTGCATTTTCTGTCACTGTTAGCACGTAAGCCAGAAAGAATGTAAAAAAGAGCAGAAGCTTGATTTCCTCTTTACCTGAGAAACCAACCAGAATGAATTCAACTACGTGGGTCAGGTTATCTGAGGGCATGCTGAGAAAGCTGCTATAGACTTTGCAAGAGAAGCAGACGTAGCAGCAGTTTGAACAACCACTCAAGCTAGCTTGCATGCACAGACCATGACTTGGAAAACTGTTTGTAATTAGAACTGTTTGGATTGAGAAAAAAAAAAAAAAAATAGTTGCAATGAGTGATTCATAATGAAAAATAACAACCAATGATAACAACATAGCAACTTCATAAAGTACTATTGAGGCACAAAGAGGATTTTCCAAAGTAGACTGCAGGATTTTTCTAGGACCATTTTTGTAAATGCAATTAAGACCACTCTCAAACAACTGTGAGTTACATTTCTGATTCAAACCTCAAGCATCTCATGATACTAACACAGCATGATCTGAAGTGTTATAGGTATATGAAAGGGTGCAGTGCTTAGGATTTTTTTTTTTTCCATACTCTACTGGTTTACATGAGTTTTTCACCCAACCTCCACATTTCTTCTCATCCAGACCTCAACCAGCTACTGTTATAACACTATTCTGGACACCAATCTTCAGTGCCTCTAAACTATTAGAGACACAATTAATTAAACCATCTCATTAAATCTCAAGTTTAGTAATCCTTGTGTAAGTCAGAATCTTCACAGAATGATTAATATGTTTCCTGAAAATGCCTGTGTTATAATTTCTAGATGTACTTCCATCTCTCCTATTGTTATTCTTTAAATTGAGACATGTACTTGTGTCTGTTTAAATATGGCAGATGGATCTCCTTGTGAATAATCTGGTTATATAGTGAATACAAAAGTTATTTGAGAGACACAAACACTTAAGAAGTGTCAATATTTCATAAAGCATAATAGCATGAATGAATCCACCATCTCAAAGTGCTGTTTTTTCTCCTTTGACTAAAGAGGATATTAAATATGAAGTTAACATGTTCTGTTGAATTAATCACACGTTAGTTGTATAAATGGTGTATTAGTGATTCAGGTACCTAAACATAAGCACGTTTTCACATGCCATAGATATCCTGGTGTTCCAGCTCTCAGTCTAGAAGATTATGAGATTTCTGTAGGTTCTGTGTCATATCTGATAGGAATTTGTGAAACACTCTAAGACACCTCAGGTGCTTTCCTATGGCTGTATTTAGGTTCTTGAATCCCACCTTTAGTGGGATATGTGAGTTTGTAGACACATGTAATTTCTTTCTCATGCTGTAGTTATTTGGGTCATCTGTCAGGTGAGGAACAAAGGGTCTCTCAAATACCACTAAGAGCCTATGCATGGACAAGCAATGGACAATCCATGACTGATCAGTGATTCATTTTGCCTAGTATAGAGTTCTAGTTAGGAATGGGTTAAATATTTATGGAAACTGTTAACTATATGACTTACACATCCACTTTATTACGTATAATTACGTGACTATAATCGGAGCTTAAACAGCTAGCACTGCATGTAAGTTACTTCACTTTAGGCACTCAAGATAATATCTAGGCACCTATATAGAGTGAGATAGTGCCATTTTAGCTGCCAAGGATATCTTAGATATCTTAGATACTCTCTTGGAGTTGGCAGATATAACATGGAACCTGAAGAAGATCTATACCCTTCCAAAGCAGTGCTGAAGGCCATGCAGAGTACCACAAAAGGTCTAAAATAGCATTAGATATGCCTGTATTTAAGTATCTGAATTCCTCTTCTGTTGCTAGGTACTATTAAGAAATGAGGCATCAGGGATTGCTTAAAAATAAGTTTTTGTTGCCACTAGGGATGGCAAAGATTATGTCACCCTGCTTTCAGCTCTTGCTTCTGAAGGATTTAGAAACTTAATGGTATAGGAAACTTGGAGACACTGTGCAGATGTCTTGGGTAATCCGCAAAAAGCATTTATTTTTAGTAACCATATTGAGCCACTAAGTTTAGATACCATGAATCTGACCTATCTTCTGCATGCTTTAAGTGAGGTGACAAAAATCCCATGATTGGACACAACCAACATAAATATGCAAACTCATAGTTTCACATGCAGATAGCTTGTTAAATCTTACATGCATCTGTTATGCCATATATGTAGTAAACTGCAAGGTTAATCCCTTTCACAAATGTGTTATGAGAGCATGCACATTTTTACCTATCCATTCATCTATACTTATATCAACGCTGTCTAGCTGATAATATTTCTTTCTATATAAGTATTAGATATATGTTTCTAATGTCAGATTTAGGCAGACAGAAAAGGATATGCTGTACTGACAGAGTGTAGATTAAACATACATAAAATATTATGGTGGGAAGACTGTTTTTTTCCCATGACTTCTTAATTGTCCAATTTAATATCCTACTGTTCCTCCATATATCTATCCATCTATCTATATGCATATCTGTGAAGAGAAATAATAGTAAAAGCATTTCATACCTTACATGTAAATTTAGATATGTGTATGTGTAGGTGTGTATGTTTTAGAATTAAATATTTATGTGGTAATATTTCTTAAACAATGTAATATTTTTTTTTTTTATTTACTTCTCAATTAAAAACACTTTAAGGAAATGTGATTACACTGTATTCAAAAATATTATGGTGCCAATGAACCATTAACCTGTACACAGGAGAACCTGTCAGATTTGATAACAGCCTGCCCTATTGTAAGTCACAGGCAGGGAGAATCTCATGTGAGATCAATTACAAGATGGATAAGCTTTACTCATAAGAGGAGTCTCACCAATCCAAATATTAAATACAGATTTTAATCAATGAATTCTACAGAAGATTCCCTTTTTATAGCATGAACCACCTGATGTAGGCTTTAAAATAATTCAAGTGAACTGTGTTTAAAGAGTGATTGACAACAGAGACATTGACAGCAAAGATAAACTACGGAAAGGGGCTATGCTGTTAGTATTGATGTAGATACCTACAATTAGGGGTAATTCAACTCATAGTGCCCAGCTCTGAGGAATAAGGAAGAAAAGAAAGAAGGGAAACTTTTTTTTTTTTTTTTAAAGAAAATTAAAAAGACAATATAGGAAGGAAGGAAGGACGGAAGGAGGGAAAAAGGGAAGGAAGAAAGGAAGGAAGAAAAGAAGGAAGGAAGGAAGGAAGGAAGGAAGGAAGGAAGGAAGGAAGAACAGACAATGAGAAAATCTTTTTCTATAATGAATGTGTACTAACATAAATACTGAAACACAAAACTATACTTGAGAGAAAGAATGAAGACGAACATGTAAGCCTATTATTTTTTTCTTGATGCTTTTTCTAAATAACTGATGAAAAGAAAAAGAAATGTCATGGGAAAAATGTCTTTTAAAGTATGAAAATAGAAATTTGCAGAAAAAAATGAAGTTTCATATAAAAAAATTGAAATAATTTTCTGTGGAAATTAGAGTTCAAGAATTAGACAAGGCTGGGAAAGCACTGCTTGCTCTCTCTTGTTGCATGGGGAAAATGAACCATTCTCTCTTTATGGACTAATTTGAGTTCTGTATATTGAGTTGCTTCTTATTCTCCAACATAAGAGGTAAAAAGACATTCCACCTGTGGTCAGTGACACTGCTCTCATTTTTTTCAAGTAGACTAAAGTTTCAATACAAGAACGTTTACTTTGAGAACTGATAAGCCTATCAGATCCACACAGAATCTGTGCCAAGGGGAAAACACTAGTTTATACTTACTAGGTATAGGTAGGTAGGTAAGTAGGTAGGTAGGATTTGGCTTCTCTATTTATATATTTACATGACTTAGTAATCTAGAATTTCCTTTATCTTTTCTGTTTTGAATACATGCATTACAAGATTGAATACTTCTTAGAATCCATGTACTGTTTCTAGAGACTTTCTCTTGACTAGAAAGAAAACTAGGTGTGATGCTCTGGGGCACCTAAAATGTCAATACCTAATGACATATAGGCACATGAATCCTACCCTTACCTTCTGTAGATTCATAGAATAATTTATGCTGGATGGGACCTCAGGAGATCTGAAGCACTATCTCCTGTTCAAAGTAAATGCAGTCTAATGAATAATAAGATAAACACTCCCCTTGATTTATTGGCTAAGCAGTCCAAGGAGTGGCAATGGCAGAAGGGTAGCAGGGGTCCCAGATGGAGAGGTTCTTGAGGAAGTAATAAAACAAATTTAATTTTTAATTTTCCCCCCTTCTACCTTTTCCCTTTCTTTTTTGAAGTGGGAATTAGTGAAAGGGAAAAAGACCATAGATCATAGTAAATTAATAACTAAGTGGAAATTCAAGATAGTTTCTAATATCTTTTTATTTCCAAAGAAGTTTTAGTTTTGAAAATTTCAACACTGCAATTAAAATTATTCTAGCTCCCTTTGAACTCAGATATACTAATGAAACCAATTTTTCAGTTAACCAAACTGTTCTTGAGATTAAAAGAAAGCAGGTTATCCTTCTTTATTTTATTCAGCCATCACTGATGATTTGGCTTATATTCTGCTCTAATTTAGCTGTTCTAATTCTGATCATATTTAGATTCATAAGATCATATTTATATTCTTATTCTTGATAATCTTAATCTAATAAAAAACAAATTAACTGAGATAATCTACAGAGAAATAGTGTGTTTTTTTCTTTGTTCTAGGTGTACATAGTAAATTTTGCTTACTGTATATTTTGCATTAACATTCATATCTAAGGCAACTATCTAGCTTCCCTGTATGGCTATTGGAGAGAAACAGGCAGTTCCAGAGGACAATGATCTAAATACCTAATTTATTAGAAGACTAATTATTTTAAGAAGTGTTAAATTTTTTGTAGAAGTACTGTTCATGACTCCTTCAGGTTAAGTAATCTCATAGTGTCTAGATGTAAACAGATAATACCAAATTGAACTTTATGTTTTGCAGAACTAAATTTAGTTTGCCTACCTTCAGTTACTTACAAAGGGGCCAATAGAGGTGGCAAAATACAAATTACAATACAGCTGTATGATAGTCTGTCTGACTCCTGCTGCTGTTCAAGAAGGCTAGAGGTGTCCTTTAGGTCCTGTGTCAGAGCTGCTAGCCTG